CAAGAGCCTTGGGTGATTACTGACACCATAAACTAGAGTGTCAATTGTTAAATCAACAACAGGAGTCACTGTGTACTTGCTCCCCATGTAGGACCTATGTCCTTAATGTCTTGTACTATGAGAATTAACGGTAGCACCAATTTTCAAACAGTACTTTATACTTTGTGTGTCTGTGTGGGTGCAAACTGTTCTGTATATAAAGCTAATTAAAAATGAATCTTAATGAAAAATGGGGGCCGACTGGTGCTATGGCTCAGTGGGTTAACACCCTGGGCCTGAAGTGCTGGCATCCCATGTGGGTGCCGGTTTTAGACTCGGCTGCTCTACTTCTGATCCAGCTCTCTGCTGTGGCCTGGGAAAGCAGTAGAAGATGGTCCAAGTTCTTGGTCCTCTGCACCCACGTGGGAGTCCCAGAAGAAGCTCATGGCTCCTTGTTTCAGATCGGCGCAGCTCCAGCCATTGCAGCCAAATGGAGAGTGAACCATCAGGTGGAAGACTCACTCTCTCTCTCTCTGCCTCTCCTCTTTCTGTGTAACTCTTTCAAATATATAAATCTTTTTAAAAAATGAAGAATGGGATGGGAGAGGGAGTAGGAGATGGGATGGTGTGTGGGTGGGAGGGTGGTTATACAAGAAAGAACCACTATAATCCAAAAGTTGTACTTTTGGAATTCATATTTATTAAATAAAAGTTTTCTATTAAAAATATTAGATCCAATGAATAAATCAACTTTTCCAAAACAATTCATTCTAAGGATAGTATAACGTTCTATGTTTTGGTGTATCAGAAAAGCTGTAACCAGTGCACAAAATCTATGAAACTACAAATCCTAGTTCTGGCAACAGCATGAAAAAAAGTAAATTTAGACCTTTTTGTTCCTCAGGGCATATAGCCTCAGTGTCTGATAGGGAAATCCTACTCTACTGCAAGTAAGTGCATTTAATTTTGAAATTTATTGCTTAAAATGTATTTGCAGTAAAATTTTCATCCTAAAGCTTTATTCACAATACTATGTCAATATTTGAAAGAAATAAGGTATAAAGTATTTATCTGAAAAAATGATAAGATAAAGTATCCTCAATCTATAGCAAGATAAGGGAATTTTTTATAAATTTATAAAATATATATAAAATATATAAAATTTATAAATTTCATAAAAATAAAAGCCTTGTGAAATAAAGGACTAGGTAGCTCTGCACAAACTGGATGACACACATTGAAAAGTCTCAAGTCTATAAGAGTCAACAGTGTGACAGAAGGAAAAGCTTATTGACTAAAGGGAAATATTGGGCTGGGTCTGAATAAATGGTGTTCCAAGAGTAGAAGTAAAAGACCAGAAAGGACAACATGAGTTTGATTAAATCCAATGACAGGGGAGGAAAAAATCTGTCCATGCAGCATGAATATTCATGATAACATTAAGCAGAAATATCTAAATGTTCATCATACAACAGAACTGTATTCTACTACATTGAACATTGTTTCACAACAAAAAGAAGTATAAATAGATGTTATAACATGGATGGTAGTATACTACTAAAAGTATATACTGAAAGTAGTATACTAAGTGAAAGAAGCCATTCATGAAAGGCTACATACTGTAGGTCTCTATTAAAATGAAATTTCCTGGGTAGGGAAATCTCTGGAGATGAAACAGAGTGGTGGTTGTGTAGGGCTAAGGAAGAAAGAGGGACCGAAGGGGTGATGGATAAGTTATACATGGTTTCTTTTCAGGGTTGATTACAAATATTCCAAAATTGATTGAGGTAATGGTTATCCAACTCTGGGAACATACTTTGGAATACTGAATTTTGTTATATTAATTGGGTCACTCTACATATGCAAAATATGTAAGAGTACTTTGAAAAGTTTGTCAAAATGGGTTAAGAGGTAAGGAAGTTTTTGCAAAAAAAATTTAAATTGATGCACACTTTCTCAGAGTGCGCATTTCCTGTGAACTAAAGAAATTGTATCTCAGTTACTCATTTTTAAAAATCTAGGAGCAGGACCTATTTTGTACGTATAGACTATACATGACCTGAACATTTCCCTACTTCTATGTGTGTACATGTTTGTGTGTGTATATACATACATATATGTGAAGTTCAAAAGAAAGAAATGAGAATCTTCAGTTAGATTATATATTTTATACAACATTAGCATTTTGTGGAACAGTATAATGGAATTTCTGAACAATTTATCCTGGAACACATTAAATTAATATACATAGGTTCTATGTCTTGTCACATAAGTGAAAATAAGAACAAAATTTTAGAGAATTATAGTGAATTTTATCCTTCAATTTAATCTTCCCTGTTTCACCATGGCAGTGCAATACTACTGACTGTATTATATAACAAGAAAAATGTCTCTCAACTTCTGTGAAGAATGATAGTTAACTGTGACCTTTTTAATTATTTTAATAAAGAACAGAAGAAAAATGCCAAGTACAGTGACTGTCCGAGTTTAACAAATAAGTACCTTATAATGATAAAACCATGCTAAGAGTACAATGAAAATTAACAACAAATCTGTGTTTACTGACATTTTGTATCCTAAAAACACTTTTATTATTAAACCAGCCCTAGAATTCCTGTTGACACATTGGATAGGATATGTACTTTTCTGCTGATCTCACCAAATTTGATCTTTAATTCTTTGTCTCATCATCTAACTTAGTGAACTAATGTGTCATAATTTCCAGTGTTACCTGTACTACAGAATGTGCTTACTGGGTGTCAGATACTTGAAGTAGTTTCACATCCACTTAACAAAATATATTTATTACCATTTATTATTTATCACCTTTATAATGAGTGTTCTATTTAATCAATGGTATATGCGAATTGTTCCATATTTGTAAGTCACGGCTTTTCATTTTTATGATGGGGCATAAGTGATACATTCCATAGGACACATATTTTGAATTTTGATCTTTTCCTACTCTAGGATTGTGCTATGTTATCTGTCCTCCCTTAGGATGCTGGGCAGCAGCAGTGACCTGCATCTCCAAGTCAACTACACAATCAAAAGGGGAAATGGCCCACAGTCTTCTGTGTACTATGTTGCTGCGCTAGAATGCTGAGAAGGGGGCATGTATTAAATACGTTCTTCACTTAGGATATTTTTCATTTAATGATGATTTTATCATCATGTAACCCTATCAAAAATCAAGGAGCAACAATACTTTGAATGTCATCACCACACACATCAATCCACATTCTTTCCATCATGCATACACATTACTGACTAAACTGAGATAAAAAAGACGTCACCTTCCTGCATAATCAATGTTATATTATTTAGCCAACAGATTCAGTTCACTATTTCTCCCCTGATAAATCTGTAACACTTAACAAGCTACTGAAGTATCACAGAGCAATCAGTGTGTTGGTACACTAAAACTAGTACAATTCTACAGCGTAGAACTATAGAGTGTAAGCAACTTACTTGTAAAAATGGCTAAAGTGAATAAGAAAAATACCTGTGAGGAACTTAATGTTGCTGAAATTTGCACATTTATAATTTGATAAAAAGGAGGGACCATTAAAAATTGCTGAGAGGTTATAAGAACACATCAGTTGACAGTGAAACGCCTTTGGTTGAAGACAAGTTGGCATGAATAACAAAATTATACCAACTAAAATAGTTAAAAAGTTACAAGGGAAACGTATTATGTGGTGCAGCATCTTTGCTTTAGTTCATCTGGAAATCTGGCATGAACTGTCAAGGTAATCCACATAATTCAAAATCTTTTCAAAAATCTTTCTTTTAGGTCTGAGCATTTCTGTTGAGTTCATCATGGTTTTAAATATGGCAAGATAAAAACATTAAAAGTATTTTAGGAGTATAGAATTTATTATTATTTGTATGTTGAATTTCCTGGCATTCTTATCCACAAAAATCCATCATCAACACCCTGTCATGGACATAGTTTGAACTCATTTACTGCAAGTCTAGAGTAAAAGAATGTTTCAGTGTTTCCTAATTCATGAAAATGACTGGTCAACACAAATGTTCTTGTTCTGTAGATATAAATATCTGCATAATGCAACAGCACTCTATTGACATTTAAAGAAACTATTTGGTAAAATCAACAATCTCAAGTGTTTACATGTAACCTTGTGAGTAATTTTTATGAACAAGGACATGAAAGACAGGGTAATCCTGTTTTACTTGATAAATTTTTATATGGTATTCACTATCCATCAATTGGAATCCTGGATTACACATCTATCTTTTGTGAGACTGAACTAAGTCCTTATAAAGGCTGATGAATGTAGACTAACAGGTGAAAGTTTGTTTCCGAACCTGCAGTGTTCAGAGCATTATGGAACTCTGTAAGACAATGCCAGAGTAGTCATTTCTAGATAATCAATGGCACCTATTTCCTTTTAAGAACCCAAAGATGTAACATTCCTTGTGGTGAAAAAGCATGCATAATGAACCAGTAACATTCTGGATAAGGAGTACAACTTACACTCTCAAATAAATTTACTATTAAATCCCAATGAAGAGTTTAGATTTTAACCAAAGAGATTCAGAATTCCATACCATGTCATCACTTGATTTTATTCACACTTCAAAAGGTACTGTAAATATTACTAGGGACTCCAAGTGACATTTCTACAACCATGACCATCACAACACTACTCACAGTAGACCAAAGGTAGAAATCATGGAAATGTCCATCAACTGATGAAAGGATCTAAAAGATCCACTGTAAACAAAATATTGTTTTCTAATGTAACACAATTAGAATTTTAAAATGTAATCTGACTACTTAAACAATTTTATGAGTTCAGTCCATTCCTTCTATAAAGGTTAGCAGATTTGCTTTGGTAGTAGCAAGTAGTATCTGCATAAATACAGAAAAATATACTTCTCAATGAGACTTTTCTTGTTAGGCAAAATATTTTCCCAATCTCCTAGCAGAGATATAGAAACACCTTCTCAGTGTGACATAGGTTAAGAGACTGACTTACTGAACTTGGTCTTACCAGATTTTTCTGCAGCTCTTCAATACTGCCAGCATGCAGTTTGACGATATCTTTCATTTCCAAAATTTCAGACTGAAGCCTACAATGTACACGGAAAATATTTTCACCCATCAATCTAAGCATATACATAATTTCTGACTAATTCTTAGATGGGACTTGATTCAACATTAGATATGGGATGTATACATCACAAGTGGTGGCTTAGAACACAGTGCAAACAATGCCAGAAACAAGAATTTCGTTTTTATCTTTTATGCTTCACACATAAAAATTCATTTTGTCATAAAACAAAATCTCTCATCTCTTGTTCTCCAGAAATGAAAGTTCAGGTCTATTATTGATATCTAACTTTGATCATAATTGGGTATATAGTAGTCAGTCTAGTACCAGATGATTTAGCTTGTGTTTCAGTCTATGTTTTTTTAAATATTTATTTATTTGAAAGGCAGAGTTACAGGGAGGCAGAGAAAGGGAGGGAGGGAGGGACAGATGGACGAAGGGGGAGAGAGAGAGAGAAAGAGACAGTCTTCCATCCACTGGTTCACTCCCCAAATGGCCACAATGGCCAGAGCTACACTGATCCAAAGCAAGGATTCAGGAGCCAGGAGCTTCTTCTAGTCTCTCACGTGGGTGCAGGGTCCCAAGTACTTGGGCCATCTTCTGCTTTACAAGGCCACAACAGAGAGCTGGATTAGAAGTAGAGCAGCTGGGACATGAACCGGTACCCATATGGGATGCCAGCACAGCAGGCGGCTTTACCTGCTAGAACACAGCACTGGCCCTACAGTCTCTGCTTTTTGATAGATGTGTTCAATTTTCACTTTTTAATTTTTTGTTTCTCATGATCCAGTTTAGAATGTAGCATTCTAATATTAACAGCCAGAATATTAAGCTGTACACTAGACTAGATCATTGTTTTTGTTAATGTTTCCTCACTCATTTACAAATGATTTTAAAGACTGCTGAAGCAATCTTTTAAAATTGTGATATTCTCAAAATATTTTCTTTTTCCATGTTCTGAAATTTATTGTACTATTTCCAGTCTTCATGATGCAATTTTAAAGTAAGTGAATTTTATGTAGCGTGTCATTTTCCTTTTTATGTCCACTGAAAACCTAAGTAAGGGGATGGGCAATTGTCTCAGGAGCTAAATCATTGCTTGGGATACTCAAATCCCACACCCAAGTTCCTCGCTCAAGTCATGGCTCCTCCACTTCTGATGTGTCTTCCTACTAATGCGCATTCTGGGAGGCAAAAGATGACAGAACAAGTCCTTGGGTTCCTGCCACCCATTTGAGAATTCAAATGTTTTGAACTTCTGGCTTCAGCCCAACCAACTGCTGCTGTGGACATGTTGCAAATAAACCAGCATATGGACTATCCCTCATTGTTAGTCTATGCCACTCCACTTTAAATAAAATGAGAATATATATATATATATATAAAATTTTAAAAATAAAAAGGAATTTTCACTGATACTCAATGGAATATTAATCTTCCTCTGAAACTAAATAATAATCTGTGCACTTAAACAATGAAAGGCTTGTAATAAATGGTGCCCAACTGGAAAAATGTTGGAACCAAACTTCAAACATTTTAGAAGCAGAAATTCCAAAAGCTCAAAGATTTAATGGAAGATGACAAATCCGTTAAAGTGAAAAAAAACTCACAGGAGAATATTTTAAAATATCAGAATTGGAAATCCTCTCTCTGAACTGCAGCAAATCAAAGAATAAAAGTTGATTATATTAGGCTATATTAAAAAATTAGCTTAACACTCTGATATCTAACCTATGTAGCCACCATACTATAAGAACGTGATATCTGAATAATATTTGAATAGATGAAACTTTCCAAAGTTAAGTTCCCTGGTCCTGAGAATATTATGTAGATGGTCTATTTTTCTAAGATTTTAGAGCCATTTATAGAGAAATATCTTTATTAGGAAAGGATAATTCTAAGAAAGCACTTCCACATACATCAATGAGCTGAGTTACCACAGTCCTGATAGCAGGAGCTAAAAATAAAAGGAAGCTCCACAATTCTTCCTGGGTTATCCGGCTCTATTCCTTAATTGTAAAGATGCTGTGCGGCCAATCAGCTTTGGTGGTAAACGACTTTGGGCACCGCCCACCTTACTTCCTTTGGGCGCCATCTTTGAATTGCCACGTGTGCCTAATTTCCCCACAGATTCCCCCTTTTTTGTTTTATATTAAAGAGAGGAAGAGGAACTGAGCGGAGAGTGTGCCTGTCTTAGGTTGTCCCCTCTGAGTGGGATCAGCCCTTTAGGGAGCATGTCTGTCTTAGGTTGTCCCCCTCTGGGGATCTTACCCGTCCTTGACTACCACTCCAGCTGGTAAGGGCTGTCCCGGGGATCTTACCCGTCACTGGCTACCACCTCAGCAACTCAGGGTATGATGTAGTGTATCTCTACATCTTGGCAGTGGCCGTGGGCGGATGTATGGAGCTCCCAATCTGGCGCTTAAAGAGCGGCATAACCCAGTTCTTAAAGAGTGGCATATTGTTGTCAGACCACCATTAACTGGACCGCAGCAATGCACTTGTAGACAAGGACAATTTATTTGAAAGGACATTTATTTGAAAGTCCAATAACAGAGAGACAGAGAAAGATCCTCTATCCACTGGTTCACTTTCCAGTTGGCCCCATAGCCAACCCCTGGCCAAACCAAAGTCAGGAGCCAGGAACTTCATTTGTGTCTCCCTCATGGGTGGCAGGGGCCCAAACACTTAGGTTATCTTCTGCTGCTTTTCCTAGGCACTAGCAGGGAGTGGAGTTGAAGTGGAGCAGCCAGGACACAAACTGGCACAGGTATGGGATGCTTTTGTAACACATGGCAGCTTTACCTGCTATGACACTAAGCCAGATCCATCTGATGCTATTTCTTTTTTTCATTATTTTTTTAACTTTTATTTACTAAATATAAATTTCCAAAGTACAGCTTATGGATTACAATGGCTTTTCCCCCCCATAACTTCCCTCCCACCCGCAACCCTCCCATCTCCCGCTCCCTCTCCCATTCCATTCAAATCAAGCCTTGGCAACTCATGACAAGAGCCTAGGGAGATTACTGACGCCATAAACAAGAGTGTCAATTTGTTAAGTCATCTCACTCAATTTCTAAGGCACTTCTATCAAATTGCTTTTATTTCTGTAATATAAATTCAAGTGAAGAAAGATCTCAAAACACTAATAAGACCGAAATTTTAATATGTATTCATTTTTATGTGAAAGAAAGTGAAATGGATAGAGAGAGGAAAAGAGAGGGGCAGAGAGGGAGAGAGGGAGAGGCATGCAGAGTCACAGAGAAGAGAGGTATCTTCCAATCACTAGTTTACTTAATTTTCCACAACAGCCAGGGCTGAGTCAGGCTGAAGTCAGAAGCCTGGAACTCAATCCACGTTTACCATGCGGGTAACAGGGACCCAACCACATAAGCCATTATCTGCTTTGTCCCATAGTGTGCATTACAGGTAAGACAGGATCAGGAGTGGAGCAGTAACTTGAACCCAGGCTCTCCAATATGATTTGCAGGCATCCCAACCAGCTTATTAACTATTATGCCAAACAGCCACACGAAAGGAAAACTCAGAGAATGCTTCTTAGAAAACCATTTGGAGCTCAATGATTGTTTACAGCCCTTGTCTCTACTATTGAGGAACAGTATTTTGTTCTTTATACTATTTGTTGTGCTCTTCACTTAATGTAGGATTCAGATCCCACATGAGGAGTAAGTACACAGTGACTCCTGTTGTTGACTTAACAATTTGACACTCTTGTTTATGGCGTCAGTAATCTCCCTAGGCTCTAGTCGTGAGTTGCCAAGGCTATGGAAGCCTTTTGGGTTCGCCGACATCGATCTTATTCCGACAGGGTCATAGTCAAAGTGGAAGTTCTCTCCTCCCTTCAGAGAAAGGTACCTCCTTCTTTGATGGCTCCGTTCTTTCCACTGGGATCTCACTCCCAGAGATCTTTCATTTAGGTCCCCCCCCCCCCCCAGAGTGTCTTGGCTTTCCATGCCTAAAATACTCTCATGGGCTCTTCAGCCATATATGAATGCCTTAAGGCCTGATTAAAAAAAAAACTACACATGATGTCACAAGAAAAAATCTTTGAAACATTGGTTAACATGCCAATTAAAGTCACCTCATTCCACACTACAAGTACTTGGGTTAAGTATCCACATCCAGCTCTAGCTTCCTATTAATGTGGACCTATAAGGCAGTTGTGATAGCCCAAGAAACCGAGTACCTGTTTCTGGCTCCTGACTCTAGCTTCCTGTACTATGGACCTGGAGAGAAATGGTTATGGCTCAAGCATTTGGGCACCCATCACCCGTGTGGGAAACATGGAATGAGTTCCCAGCTCCTCAGCTCAGCCAGTCTCAGGACCAGCAGGTGTGGTAATTAGGAAGTGAACTAACAGATGGGAGTCCTCTTTATATCTGTTTCTTGCAGTGTGTGTGTTTGTGTGTGTGTGTGCTGACATGTATCAGTATGTGCTTCTGAAATACATTTTCAATGTAAAAATCACATTTTTGAAAAAATGTTAACTTCATTGATTTGAAAGGCAAAGAGAGCCCTCCTATCTACTCCCTCACACCTCAAATGCCTGCAAACAGCTAGGACTTGGTCAGGATGAAGCTAGGAGCAAGGAACTCAGTCTCTCATGTAGGTGACAGGGACCCAGATACTTTAGCCATCACCTGATGTCTCCCAGAACACATAGAATTGGAGATGGATCCAGAATTCAAATCCTGGCACTGTAACACAAGACACAGACATCCCAAGGACTGACTTAACTCCCACACCAAATGTGTGCCCCCAAGAAAGCTTTTAGCACTGACGAATGGCACCCAAAGGCTGTTAAAAAGCCTAAAGCTAGTACTAGGTGATCTTTCAAAACTAAAGGAAAACTCCCTTGGATGTTTCTGCATATCTTCCTTTCCCTTCATTTAGCATATTATAACAATTATGAAAAGTTTTCCTCTCCAATCTCTTCATTTGTAATGCCTAACTGAAGGCCGGTCCTGATGTCATAATATGAGTACAGGCCAAAAACAATCCTTTCTCACTGGTTAATATTAAAATATGTCTGCTTAGTAACAATTCATGTCAACAGAAATAAATAGGAAATGACAACAGCAATAACCAAGAAAAAAAAAAAACCTTGGTAATCTTAAATTTTCTCTCCACATCAGTCACATAAAAAAAAAATTAAAGAAACTCAAACTCTGTGACAATAGGGAAAATCCTCCACACTGTAAATCATCTAAGACAAAAATATTTCAAATACATCTGCCTGTCCCATCAACTTAAAAATATTCTAGAATGCACGGTAATTATTCCTTTTAATTTAGTAAAACCAAAGAAAGAGTTTTTATTGGAAACAACAAAAAATAAATAATTAAAATACATAAAATATTCCACCATCAACATTTTGTCCCAGCAGGAATACAGGAGTGCCCAGCCACTCTCCCAGGGTGCAGCCCACCGTCTGTGTGCCGGCTGCTGCTTCCCAGACCCTCCACAAATAGTGAGGGCCCTGTCAGACACTGGGCTTGCAACCTGAAGTGGACGTTCACTCCTGCCACAACTTGTAGCCACAGTCTCATCGGCACCCAAATCACAAAGCCAGCTAAATGCTGTGGACGACAACCTCCAGGCGAGAGAGGCTGGTCCTGGCACACCCGCCATCTGGCCCTCCACCTGCACTGCCCACACCTGTTAGCTCTCAACCCAGCACCACCAGGATCACCAACTCTGCGAGCCAAGGGTTCCCAGATGATGCAGGGAACTCCCTGCTAGCAGGCAGCCTGTCCCCAGGGGAAAAGCTGACTGCCAGACAGTGGCTGTGGACAACCAGCACCCAAAGAATATTGACCCCTCACCCTCCCTTTCCTCTTGGACGCCACGATGCAAAGGCAGGGAGAGTGGAGCATCTCTGTGCGCAGGCCATGAAAACCCAAGATTCCCCCCAGCTCCAAGGGGACCTGCACCCCACACTTCCCCGCCCGTGGCCTGAGGCTTCTTCGCCACTGCCTCTCCGCTGCTGCCTGCTTCTCTGCACTAGCCCACACACTGCCACAGTCAACGCCACCTCCCAACTGCACGTCCCTGCCCACGCGCCACCAAGGCAGACTCACCTTTCCCAGCCTGCGATGCCTCACACTTCCAAGGCACCGCTGCTGCTGCCGCCCGTGAGGAACTACCCTTCAGCGCCGCTGCCCCTCGTCTCACCAGCACCCCCGCCACCTGCTGCTCCCTAGCTGCCCCCTGTGTTGCTGCCGCCACCATGGACTTACACCTCCCTGCCTAGGAAGCCCCACGCTCCACCAAGGCAGACTCAGAGCCATGCTTCCCCATTTGTCAGCATTCCCTGAGCCATTACTAGTGCAAATTCCGTGTGAAAATGAGATTAACGATCAATAACACAAAGTAGATTCTGTCTGATGCTGGACAGATCTGAGTGGATCTGGAGGTGTGGTTCAGAGGGTTAAAAGCATTTGGGACACCAGCTTCCCATATTGGACTTATGATGTTGAATCCTGGCTCTTCGGCTCCTGATTCAGCTTCCTGCTAAAGCGCCTAGGAGGGCAGAAGACAACCCCAGTCCTTGGACTCCTGCCACCCATGTGGGAGGTCTGGAATGAGTCCCTGGCTCGTAGCTTTGGCCTGGCCATTGTGGTCATTCAAGGAGTGAATCTGTGGATAAAAAAATCTTTATCTATTATTCTCTCTCTGTCTCTCTCTCTCTCTCTCTCACACACACACACACACACACACACAAATTCAAGAAACCATTCCTGGGGCCCGTGCTGTGGCAAAACTGCTAAAGCCGCCACCTGCAGTGCTGGCATCCCACATGGGTGCTGGTTTGCGTCCCGGCTGCCCCACTTCCTATCCAGCTCTATCTATGACTTGGGAAAGCAGTAGAAGATGGCCAAAATCCTTGGGCCCATGCATCCACGTGGGAGACCAGAAGCAGAATGGATCCTGGCTTTACACCGGCACAGCTCTGGTCATTGCAACCCTTTGGAGAATGAACCAGTGTTCTCACTCTCTCTGCCTCTCTGTAACCCTACCTTGCAAATGAATAAATAGTTAACAACAACAAAGAAGCCATTCTTCAGGCATGTCCCCACATATAGCCTCAGACAAGGAATTACAAAAACAGTTACAAACACTTACGCAAACACGAAAACAGGACACATAAAGCTTTGTAAAGGAGAACTGAATCCTCATACATTAGAAAGTTTATTGCACTTGAAAGAAAAGTGCACATCAAGTAAAAGTCGATATAAAAGCTTCATATTACATATTTGTTATAGAAAGACTTGGACCAATGGGTAGAGATCTCTGTGTCATCCAAAGATGTGCATATTGAAAGGTTTTCACAAGTAGGGTGCTCAGAGATAAAAAGAAAATGATCATTGCAAAAAGCCATAAAATTAGATTTAACAAAAGTAGATCTGGGCTAAATAGGAGACAAATTAAAACCAAAATTACATGTAGGCTTGGATAAAAAAAAATGACAACTCTGCATGAGCATCTAAGCAGTATGAACAAAATATCAAAGCTTAAAAATTTACATGCTGGCATATATAAAACTAGTCCAGGTCAAATTAAATGGGACATTTGGAGGGCTGAAATACTAACTTAATTCACATACATTGTATTTAAAAACCATGCAAAACCTAAGTCATTAATCCTAGAGTTTTTTTTTTTTTTTTTTTTTGACAGGCAGAGTGGACAGTGAGAGAGAGAGAGTCAGAGAGAAAGGTCTTCCTTTGCCGTTGGTTCACCCTCCAATGGCCGCCGCGGCCGGCGCGCTGTGGCCGGCGCACCACGCTGATCCGATGGCAGGAGCCAGGAGCCAGGTGCTTTTCCTGGTCTCCCATGGGGTGCAGGGCCCAAGCACCTGGGCCATCCTCCA